ACAATAAAATTTGGAATTTATGTTCGCATCACCTCATACTATCTATTTAAAACTAAATGGAATGAAAAATCAAGGGGAACTCAAATAAAAATCACATGACAAAAACCTAATAAAACATAAGAATAAAATAGGTTCCAGTCACAAAACTCTAAAATTTCATAACAAGAATGATTTTGTAAAAACAATTATATATTATCTTTGTAACTAAGAAAGCAGAAATAAAATAATTTCCTTGTGAAGGAAGCAGTGAAGAACAGACTCGAGCATACACATCATTTCTCAAACCCTTCTATATAACATTCTTCAAATTTCTCCTTTTGAACCCCCTGCAGCCAATAGCAGAATGTTCCCCAACTTCCCCTCAGCACTCTTGGTTCTAGCTGCATGTTGATTAGATACACAACCTTCACACTTTCCTGCACTTCCCACCCCATCCCCCCTGCTTCACCATCCTCTCTTTTCATGTTTTTATATAATTATTTCTCATCCTAAACCTCACTTTCATCATCACCCTCTCCTGCCCATAGTTCCTTCCCTACAAGTCTGCAGCACATCCAAATCCTCATCCCACCTACTATGCTTTCCATCCCTCCACTGCCCTCCAAATCCTTCTGCAACCCAAATCCAGGCAAATCAAACAATTCAACCACGCCATGCAGCCCTGTGCTAACCCAATGATCTTCCCCTTGCAAGTTTCTTTTTTTTTTTTAGTGGAAGATAAGATTGAGATGAGGATGCAATGGTTGGAGGATGCACATGCATTTTACTCAAGGTCATTTAACAGGGACGACATCACTCGAGAGCTTAACAATAATTCATTTATAATGATTATAGACATTATTTCAAGCTCATCTATTCACCCTCCAACTATTGCATGCCCTAAAAGGCTCCTTTTTTCCAACAACAAGAGAGGGAATAGCCAATTATTAATGACAAAGAGCTCCACTGTAATTGCTCGAAATACATGTCTTTAGGCTTCTTGAACCTCCTACTGATCAGGGCAATGGCAATGAGCACTTCCTAAAAATTGTATATTTTAAGTGTTGCAGAGATGATGATGCTTAGGTGGATGAGTGGCTTTACCCTTAGAGATAGGATACGAAATGAGTATATGCGGGATAAGGTTGGAGTAGCTCCAGTGGAAAATAAGATTGAGATGAGGATGCAATGGTTGGAGGATGCACATGCATTTTATTCAAGGTCATTTAACAGGGACGACATCACTCGAGAGCTTAACAATAATTCATTTATAATGATTATAGACATTATTTCAAGCTCATCTATTCACCCTCCAACCATTGCATGCCCTAAAAGGCTCCTTTTTTTCAAGCAACAAGAGAGGGAACAGAAGGTTGGCCCAATTATTAATGACAAAGAGCTCCATTGTAATTGCTCGAAATACATGTCTTTGGGCTTCTTGAACCTCCTACTGATCAGCGCAATGGCAATGAGCACTTCCTGAAAATTGTATTATTTAAGTGTTGCAGAGATGAGGATGCTTAGGTGGATGAGTGGCTTTACCCTTAGAGATAGGATACGAAATGAGTATATACGGGATAAGGTACGAAATGAGTATATACGGGATAAGGTTGGAGTAGCTCCAGTGGAAGATAAGATTGAGATGAGGATGCAATGGTTGGAGGATGCACATGCATTTTACTCAAGGTCATTTAACAGGGACGACATCACTCGAGAGCTTAACAATAATTCATTTATAATGATTATAGACATTATTTCAAGCTCATCTATTCACCCTCCAACCATTGCATGCCTTAAAAGGCTCCTTTTTTTTTCAACAACAAGAGAGGGAACAGAAGGTTGGCCCAATTATTAATGACAAAGAGCTCCACTGTAATTGCTCGAAATACATGTCTTTGGGCTTCTTGAACCTCCTACTAATCAGGGCAATGGCAATGAGCACTTCCTGAAAATTGTATATTTTAAATGTTACAGAGATGAAGATGCTTAGGTGGATGAGTGGCTTTACCCTTAGAGATAGGATACGAAATGAGTATATACGGGATAAGGTTGGAGTAGCTCTAGTGGAAGATAAGATTGAGATGAGGATGCAATGGTTGGAGGATGCACATGCATTTTACTCAAGGCCATTTAACAGGGACGACATCACTCAAGAGCTTAACAATAATTCATTTATAATGATTATAGACATTATTTCAAGCTCATCTATTCACCCTCCAACCATTGTATGCCCTAAAAGGCTCCTTTTTTTTTTCCAACAACAAGAGAGGGAATAGAAGATTGGCCCAATTATTAATGACAAAGAGCTCCACTATAATTGCTCGAAATACATGTCTTTGGGCTTCTTGAACCTCCTACTGATCAGGGCAATGGCAATGAGCACTTCTTGAAAATTGTATATTTTAAGTGTTGCAGAGATGAGGATGCTAGAGAGAGTCACCTTAGATGATTTGGTGACATTAAACGGAGGCCTTCTGATGACCCGGTTAAGAAAGTTGAGGTATTAGATTTGGCTTATGTTAAGAAAGGCAGAGGTAGAGACCTAAAAAGACTTGGTTAGAAAATATGAAATGATATTTCTTTATTAGATTTAAATGAGAATTTGACTTTTAATAGGACACAATGGCGAAAAAGGATTCATGTAGCCGACCCCACGTAGTGGGACAAAGGCTTCATGTTGTTGTTGTTATTGTTGTTGTGATATCTGTACCTCATTGAGGTTTGATGCAAGCAGACGTTTAAAATTAATACTAAATTTTTTTTATGTGCATAACACTTGGCTGGACCTTTCTTTTACTCTTCAGAAAAAAATAAACTGTAACACCATTAAATCAAAAACACTTACCATACAAAAACAAGGTTTGAAAAAAGCACAAGAACATACATTCATTTGAAAAGAGTTTTTAAAAGGGATAAATTGTAGATATAGGCTATGCAAATATATAATCTAATATATAATACCGAATTGGATATTTATAGAACAGCTACAGCATAATAGAAAGTGGTAAAGACTTAAGAAATAACAAATGTCAATTGAAGTGTATTATAAGTACAAACTAATAATGAACACCGATCCCCAAAAAAACTAATTCAGCTTTAATTTAATGAATGCTTGAGCTTCCAATAACCGAAGTTCTCAAGTTGAGCAATATGTTAGGATCTGTTTCCTTATACAGATCCAGAATGGATGCACAAAAGTAGAGCGCAAGGTTAAATTTTCAAACATAAACTTCTAATTTAGATAAATATATGTTGCTTTGGATGAAAACAGGAAATATTCAAATTTCACACAAATATTAGTTTAGCAATCATCTAATAGAAATCTCTCATAAAAATTCATCATAAAAAAAATGACACACCCAAGTAAAAAACTCACACAGAGATCAAAAAAATTAGATTGTACCAAAATTTAAAAAGGGAAATTTACATACATACCACTTTATAACATGCTATTTAAATATCTAACACCTAAAACTTTAATATTACATGCATACCATCATATATTATTTTAATATCAAATATACCACTTATATCTCTTTCCTACCACTCATATTTGGTATGAAAATGAACTATGGGTGGTATGTATGTAATATTAAAGTTTTAGGTGTTAAATATGTAAATAGAATAGTATTAAGTGGTATGTATGTAAATCTCCCAATTTTAAAATAATCAATCACACAACTAAATCAATAACTAAGATAGTAAAAAATAGAGGGAATTCCCTCATAAACTATTGTCTCCAATCGCATTATGTTAGAAATAAACACATCCAACTAGAGCTCAAGCGACAAAAAAAATAATTTGTAATCCAAAAGTAAAATATCTAAGGACTTATTTTTTATAAGCAGTAGGTACTACCACGGATCTCTTCAAAGAAGATAGGATAGGCTGTTTCATCACTGAAATCCCATTGATAAATGCCACAGAAAACTTATAGCCAGTACGTAGAAAGAAATCACATTAAAAATATGCAACAGAATTGCATGTCACGGGTAGCAGCTACAGTATTAAAATTGCAAGGCGCCGCAACTCAGTTAAATCACATGTAGCAGCTACAGCACCCAGGTCACTAGTAACCATACTTTCACAAACCACGGACATGAATAGAAGCACTGGAAGCTACATGGCATGGCAGAAATAAAGACAGACATGAAACTAGGCTAAGCAGAGATTCAAACAAACAAAATACAAAATAGAACCAAACCAGCACAAGAAACTGAACCAAAAAAGAGGAGGGGGAGAGATTAAGAGCATTAAAAAACACAATTTGTTCCCTTAGGCGTCATTATAGTCATGACGAAGCTGAAAAGAAATCTATAAAAAATATATATCGAGAGAAATAAAATAAACTAAAGTAAAATTAAAACTATTTATTCGTTTCTACACAAATCTTACGTTTTTGACAAATATAAACAAGGAGTTTCTCATTATCATTCTCTAACTCATACTAACATGAATTCAGCAATTGGTTTATGCCAATTTGAAGAATAAACCATATGCATTAGCAACTATGACAATAATCCTCTAATTCAATTGACATATTAATAACATAAATAACCTAACTTTACATAATGCTGAAATAAATAAAGAAATTTGGATAAAGTATACAGATATACAGACCACCATAGCAGAACCTCAAGCTAGTAAACTGTAAACCTGATAAACTATGATAGTAATGGATTCAAAAGAAAGAAAAGCAAACTAATTCATGGTAAACATATTCAACTAACAAAAATGATTAAATAAGACCACATCCTAGTCTATCAGACATATTTTGATTAAATTTTACAATTTAAAGACTTAGAATTTGGATCAGCCAAACTTGACATTAGATGGCATATTTTGCAAGAATATAAAGAATCTAAGAAGATATAAAATGAATCAAGCATAACTGGTCCTATCAAAAGGCGTCAATTTTTTCGATAAGGGGTTTCTCAGACAAGTGAGTTCGTTAAAGAAAATGAGCAGCATAGACGACAGAAAAAAATACCACATTTTAAGTGAAAGCTTGGGATTCTTACACTCCAAGGAGAAAAGGCCAAACCTCAGATCTAATGCTTGGATCAATTCCCTGAACCAAAAAGGATAAATAATTGCTCAAAATCAGGCTGAAATCAAAGTAAACACAATAAACAATACAATTTATTCAACAAACAATATAGCCGAATGGACACAGAACTACAAGTACTCACCCCACTTCTAACTTTCTTAAGAAACTTGAAACCGCCATCACGAAGTTTTCCTTCTGGTGTAAAGAGACAGTTCCAATACCGATGAGAAAGAACTCGTTTTCTTTTCCTCCGAGACCATGGTGATTTAAGGCTGCCTCTGATAGAAAATCAACAGCATTATAAGACAATAGCATAAGAAACTAAGTGAAATAGGTTGCGCAGTTTGCATACAGTTCATTAATCACAATTTAGTTCAGCTAAATTCAGTTAAAAATATACACTTTCCATATTGGATCCCAGCTACTTATCATACAGATCAATATACTAAAACCCCATGAACAGCAAGGAACTAGGGATAGAATAAGTATAATACCTATCCAAAAGTAAAATAGTATAGTAGGAAAAATAGAAGGATTCAAATAGGTAAAAAAGAAGCATCTAGCCTTAAAAGCTACAAGAGGCACATGTGATGAGCTAAAAAGAGAGGAAAAAGGGACAAGTTTACATAAAAACAATTATACCAGCCTGATAAAAATCACAATTACATGGGAAAGGCAAATTGACACAGATTCTGCTCCATGTATTGTGAACTTTTAACCACAAGTTTCCTTCTTTCCCAGGCATCTAATGAGAGGATTGTAGAGTAAGCAACTGCAACCCAACGGGACAATTATTTGGCCTGCTAGTGGGAGGACGGATTATAGTAGTCCAAAATATTCAATAAAGCCACATTTGTCAGTCCTGTATTAATTTATAGCAACCCGGTCTAAGTTTGTGTGAGATAAGACGCTGCCAATGTTAAAAATACTGCACACGCAGAACAATAAATTCCAAAACCAAGTCAAGAGTTCTACATGAAGGCTCTAAAACAGGCGAAAATCTCAAGTTCAAATAGTTAAAATTTCAAGGATAGCTTAAAACAGAATCGAATGACAATAACACTAAACCCTCGTGACTGTATCTTTTTTTTGGGACATCTCGTGACTGTATCAACTCAAAAGAATCTTAAAGATGGCTTAGATCTGTACAATAGGAAGATAGGAAAAAGAACAACAAGGGGAAAAAAAAAACTAGGGGGATTGATAGATTTGAAGAGGACTAAGAAGCCATTCAGTTTCTTCCGATTCTTCGTATCACGAGCTGGTAATAATCAATCTTTAAGCAAATAATAAGTAGAAGATTGCGGATCAAGGAAGAAGATAAATTAACAAAGAATCATTTCTGGTAAAGTGAAAAGAAGAAAAACTGGATATTGGATTGGGTAGAAGAGGAACTCACCGATCAGGAACAGGAGAGGAGGCAACAATAAGAAGCGATCGCAAATGGATCCACGACGACGTGGGAGACGATGAGGTTGATTGATTCGAGGAAGAGGAAGTGCAAGATCGTCTCAGAGCATTCATCTAAATCTACCCCTTGGTTCCCACTCTGCCGAAAGCAAAGAATAATCCTTCAATTCCGCGTTTTTTTTTCAATTGATTTCTTTACCTCCGCGAAGAGACCACGAATGTGGCGGCGAGGGCGATACCGGCCATCGCCGTCACTGCCACCGCCACTCCGACATGCCACCGGCTGCTTCCCACCGCCGTCGTTCCCCAACTCCCGCCACCGCAGCCAATCGAACGCTCGGACCAGCCACAAACCACCATGGACTCCACACAACCCTCTCCCCCACCGCAGTCTCTCACCGGCACTCTCCTATCGCCGGTAAGGGAAGGGATTGAGTCGATCGGGCTGGCACACACGTTGAACCATGTAGAGTGTTGAGAAGGAGATGACGACCACACACTCTCTCCCCCTCTCTCTCTCTCTCTCGCTAAGAAAGGTAGTCGGAGACCATGTCTTGTGACATAATTAAAATCCAATATCCGTTAAAGAAAAAAAAGAAAAGGCTTGCAGGACTTACAGTATAAATAGGTCATTAAAACAGGTACTATAGTCTCTGGTTAATTGACCTAATTTGAACCTGTTTAGATTCCAATATAATATATGTGACAACCACAATATAGAAAGAAGCACACAGTATGAATGTAAGAATATAATACGATATAGATATAAAAAATGATAGTATTATATAATCATAAGCTCAACGTAAGGTTGAAAGTGAATTAGTAAAAGAATAATCAGATATTTGTTTATAACAGATTATTTCATATTTTATTTTTATAATATTTAAAATATAATTTTAAAAGTCTTGAACAGTGACGTATGCTTGTTTATCTGTTAATAAATAAATTGTTAAAACTTGATAAAAATATTTATTTAATGATGATTTAATTATTCTTTTAATTTATTTTATGTTATTATACCATTTTTTATGTTTTGTGCATTGTAAATGTTATTTATTTTGATATGTTGAAAATATTGAGCAAAAAAATAAATAGATGGGTTAAAAATTTAATGCTCTAGGTCCTCATGCCCTACTAATTGCTTATTAGCTTGGACCCGAAGGTTAACAAGTGAGTATTCTATTGATTTAACAACATGAAAGAAATGCTAAATCAATTGAGTTTGCTTGCAGATTTTTCATGCAATAGGTTGTTTGCTTTTAAATACAATAAAGTGATAGTTTATCCAGTTTTTAATTATTGACTTGTATGACAAATAGTACAATACGTTTTTCTATAAAATATTGCACTTTGTTATGTACTTCTGTAAGCTTTGTAAGAGCTTGTGAGATCATGGTGCAATATTTTTTATCAATTGCTTTCTTTGAAGTTCTATAAATCTAATGTTGAGAAAATATGAAGTTTGAGGTAGATTAGGATTAGACTGAAAACGAACCGAGCCAAGCCGAGTCTGTGAGTGTTTGTTTGTGTTTGTTTATTATTAGCTTGTTCAAGTTCGGTTCATGCTTGATTCGAGTTTTATTATTTGTGTTCATGTTTGGTTTGTTTAAATTAATGGTGTTCATATTTGGTTCGTTTAAATTAATGATGTTCATGTTTGGTTCATGTTTGGTTTGTGTTTAGTTCGTTTAGTGCTTATCGAAGTTTAAACAAACAAGCCTTAACGAGCTATGTTCATGAACATATTTAGCAAATTTTCTTAAACATCAAACAAGCATGCTCATTAACAAATCTAGCGAGTAATATTCTTGAGCAATCAAATGAGCAAGATCTAACGATGTAATATAATAAATTAACAATTGCAAGGAAATTAAAACTAAAACATATATTATAACATTTAATTACTTTAAAATTTATTAATTAAAATACTTATTTCATTATGTTATAATAAATTAAAATGTTTATATTATATATATTTATCAATTTTATAATTAAATATTAATCAAGTTTTTTTCGAGCTTATTCATGAGCTCTGAATTGAACACGAACCGATCTTCGTATCGAGCATATTGTCAAGCATGTTCACGGGTTTCAAATGATGTTGTTCGTGAACATAAATGAACCGAACACATTAGGTTCAAGCTTGTTTATTTAAGGATCAAGCATTAAAAATGTTGTTCAAATTTTTTTGTTTAGTTAAGTAAATGATCACAAATGAGCTTTAATCGAACCAAGCAATGAGTAGCTCATCGAATGTTTGGTTCGCTTGCAGCCCTAATTAGGATAATATTATAGAGATTTCTCACATTATAATATAATATCTAGCACAGTAAATTCAAATTGATTATATTTTCCACCACATTCAAGTGGTTCAAATCTTCATATTCGGTTGTAAGATACAATTAAGTTTAAACGATATTCTTAGAAAAAATATTGTGAATCGCCACTTCGAACCTATGATATAAGGAAAATTCAGAGCATTTCAAATTTCAACCACATTTGGGTGGTTTGAATCTCATACATTAACTTTAAACAATGTTCTCATAAAAATGATGATTTTGCTTATAAATATACTATATTGTGCTTTGGTTATCTTTAAGCACTCTCATGTATTTTTCATAAGCTCCAAAGTGATTTCCAATTTGCTAATTTGATATAATATATATTTTATATTCTTGCTTCTTCAAAAATTTGGTAAACTCTCTGAAAAATATCGATTTTGCTTATAAATATACTCCATTGCACTTTGGTTATCCCTAAAGACTCTTGTGTCTTTTTCATAAGCTTCACACTGACTTTAATTTTAAATATGAAATATTAATTATAAATTTTCATTGATTTGTTGTATTTTTTT